CCCCCCCCCCCCCCCCCCTCCCTCCCCCCCTCCCCCCCCCTCTCTCCCCTCTCTCCCTTTCTCTCCTTCTCCCTCTCTCCCCCTCCCTCTCTCCCTTCCTCTCTCCCTCTCCTTCTCCCTCCCTCTCTCCCCCTCTCCTTCATTTCCTCTCTCTCCCCTCTTCCCCCCCCCCCCCCCCCCCCCCCCCTCCCTCCCCCCCTCCCCCTCCCTCTCTCCCCTCTCTCCCTTTCACCCTTTCTCCCTCTCTCCCCCTCCCTCTCTCCTTCTCCCACTCCTCCTCCCTCTCTCCCTCCCTTCCACCCTTTCTCTCTCCTTCTCCCTCCCTCTCCCCTCTCTCTCCCTTCCACCCTTTCTCTCCTTCTCCCTCTCTCCCCCTCCCTCTCTCCATTCCTCTCTCCCTCTCCTTCTCCCTCCCTCTCTCCCCCTCTCCTTCATTTCCTCTCTCTCTCCTTCTCCCTCCCTCTCCCCCCCTCTCTCTCTCCCTCTTTCTCTGTCTCCCTCAGAGATCCAAAATTGCCGTCTATGAGAAAATGTGGTCATACATGAAGTCGGCAGAGCCCTCGGTGTTTGCCAAGACCACAGCCGACGGGGTGGCCCGCGTGAGGAAATCAAAGGGAAAGTTTGCATTCCTCCTCGAATCCACCATGAATGAGTACATTGAACAGCGAAAGCCCTGTGACACAATGAAAGTTGGTGGGAACCTGGATTCCAAAGGCTATGGTGTAGCAACTCCTAAAGGCTCAGCATTAAGGTGGGTGGAATAATATAACAATTTCCATGTTGTTATAGTATTCCACCTACCCTGATGTATTGTGTTGTCTTTTTTTTTTCTTTTTTCTTTCTTGTGGATTTGAGGTAAACATAAACAGTTTTTTTTTTTAAAAAAAACAAAAAACGAAAAACAAAATCTTTTTTTTAAAAAATCCACAGTATTCCGTGGAGTTAAATACGATGGTAAATTACGGTTTTGTTGACCTGAATGCATCCATATATATTATATTTTTCCCCCTAAATGTTCTCTCCGTGTTGTCCCTCCGGATGGTTGCTGTTTGTTTGTTTGTTTGTTTGTTTAACTTGATCGTCCAGTGGCTTTTTTCCCCCCCTCTCAATTTTAAATGTTCAAAGCCCGAGTTTAAAAACCACCCTATGTGATGAATCTTAAATTGCATGTGGTGGTGTCCTCGTTGTGTTTTTCCTTTTCCCCCCCCTTCCTTTTTTCCCCTTCCTTCCTTCCTTCCTTCCTGCCTTCCTTCCTTCCTTCCTTCCTTCCTTCCTTCCTCTCTCTCTCTCAAGGAAGTCTCCCTCATCCTGCACACCTCAAGAGTTTTCAGCAAATGTTTAAATATCCTTCCAATTTCATCCCGCCATTTGCTGTAACCAATCCACGCTCTCTAGCGCCACCTCCCTGTGGGAAAAGAAAACGACACTCCGCTTATTTTTTTTAAAAAAAAT